TTCGGCCTTTTTGTGCTTCGACCTTTTGTGATTCGGCCTTCTGTACGGGTCCCGGTAGAAAGCATCATAATCAACGATACGATAGGCTTGGGTGATATCTTTGAGGACCCTGAGTCGATCAGATGATTTAAAACTGATTCGACGATGTTACTTTTAGGGTGGGTTCTGGATTTACTTCAGCCGGGGAGGATTTAATAGACAGAAATTTCATTCATCATCGCTCGGGTTTCTCCTTTGCTCCTGTACACTTACAAGGAATGAACAGTTTAACGGAACATCGAGACAGAATTTTATCGATGCATTAAATTTGCTTGACCACCTAGATGAACACCCTATAGGTTTGGTGGCTTCCAGTTACTCCTCCACCTCCCATTCTAACGTTCTAATGATAATGCTTGCCCTGATCCATCAGAGAAATTGAGAATGTAAACACAATCACAAGTCATAACCTAAAGGTAAGGGTTGCAGATGAGTGTGCTGGTCGAAAGATCATATATGATTACCGTAAAACGGGGTATCTTTGATAATGTGGGTAACTTTGATAGTATAATATAAAGATAAATTTGCTCGTTTGCTTTTTCCAAATAAGAAACATTGGTTCCATATTGTAGCTTAGGGTATTTCCGTTGATATCGTATATAGTTTTTATATGGTATGTGTTACATATTTTACAAAAATATAAAAAAACTTATTAAATGTATTTCCGGTACACCCATCACAAACTCAATGTTGTATTCTTATTGCTTATGAAGTTTTCCGATTATTTACTCATTCAAAGTTTCATATTTAAAGAACTTAATTGTTTGAGTTTCACCTTTTTTTCTACATTCGAATTAAGCGAATTTAGCGAATTAACTCTTGGATCCTCAGTACTTGTTTTAAAAATGGAAAATTTGAAATTTAGAATATACTTTAAAAAACTATCAATGTTACCCCGTTTTACGGTAACTTTGTATGGACCCCTTCACATTGCTCAGTCGCAGGCAATGAGAAGGCGGACTCTCTCGCAAAGGAAGGCGAATTTTATGACAGGCAAATTTCACACGATGAATTTTACCATTTAGTGCGTTAGAGTACCCTTTCGAGTTGACAAACCGATTGGGACACTGGGAATCTTCGACGGTGCACGCTATGTCTGAAAGCACTTTTTTTGCAATTTTTATGTACCTCAGTTTTTTCTTCACAGGAATTTAGTATTGATCATAACAATCAAATCTGTGAAGGTTTTAAAATATTTCATCTTGGGTTTTTTGAGAAAAAGTGTTTTGAAGTACACTTAGCCGTTTATTAAGGCGTATATGGACTATTGACTATACAAAACTGTTACGGATCGAAACAAATTCAGCTAAAAATGATTCAAAAGAGATTAAAGTAGTCGAAATACTATGTTTCAACGGTATAGTAAGATTCCTTTTTCGGTACCATAAGATATCGTAGACTTGTTATGAACTCATGTTTAAATTAATAAAATAATTAAACTCTTGCAAAAATCTATGATTTCATATTTAACAATATGGAATTTCGGGGCTACCGGAGGTTTCGATAGCTCAACTTTCACAAAAAAAAAACCTATGCACTCATCCATGAGTTTATCACCGAAACAATGTCTCATAATAGCATCCATATTGTCCAAAACCTTTAGCTGATTATCAAAATTGCATCCTTCCAAAACTACACATTTATCAAGCAATGGCGTTTATCAAGTACCTACAATGGCAACCAGCGAATCCAAATTGCGCATAAAATGACTAGAATCAACAAATTTGTGGTAAATCGGTAAAACCATCCAAACATTATCTGAAGACTCTGAAAGAGCTATCTAAACGCATGAGTAACATATAACATATAACAAGTATAAAACTACAGTCAACTCTCCATATGTGACAATGTATTTTACATTCACTGAAAAACAGTAACGAGTTCTGCCCGCTCTACTTCGTGATGCATAAGAGATACAGATTTGAGCTACTGGCAAAAATTTTAGCTAATAACAAAACCTACAAAAGCTCCATACATCATTTTGCGGAATTCTGTTGATGAATAAAGTTAGGGGCAAATGAATGTAAATGAATGCATGAAATGAATGTAAATGATTTTCCATGCCTGACTGTAGGACATAGTAATATCTCAGGCAAAAGTATTTTGTGACATGTCAAATCATGGAAAATAGGTAGAATCAATGCCTACTATGATTACGTGGTTGTCTTGGATTGTCCTGCTCGTTTTTTCTTTCTTTTACTCTTATGAGGGAAGAGAAATTAAACAAGAAGCTGTTCAAGCAACAAATATTAATTGATTTTGTGCAAACTCGTCATAACCAATACGGATCTTACTTGCGAGTCAAAGAGAGCTCTTTAACGCCATTTGGATTAATTAAATCATCTTTTGAACCTTGCCTGACTGCATTTGTTCAATTCGTAATAGTTTGGTATCGGCAATAGTCAATATACGCTTTCATAATCGGCATTGTAAACTTCAAAACAGTCTTTCTCAAAAAACCCAAGATGGAATATTTTAAAACCAGCACAGATTTGTTTGTTAGGATTAATACAAACATCCTGTGAAGAAAAAACTGAGGTAGGGGAATTTTCGTATTCTCGTCAATCTAAGCAGCGTCCGAACTTCTATTAGCGATTTCTCAGCGTCACACACATACATGACAGGTTTGTTTGTTGACATTTATCTGCTGCTTGCTTTTCTACCAATTCCAATCGACAGAATTGATCAAAACGGGTTGAACATGTTTTTACAACGCTCCAAACTTCTCAGGTGAGAGTGACTATTGTCGGCAGTCTCTTTTTCTTCGGCACTCTTTCCATTTGAACTGCGTGTTAACCAGCTGTTCTATTATCGGCAACTCGAAATCAGCCGTATTTTGTAGTATGTATATTTCATTTAAAGAAAAGTATGGTATAACAGGAATTCACAGTCGTAAAAATGTAATCAGATTGAAGCTGAAAAGGTAAGGAATCGGCTTTATACATTCAGCGAAGAGTTTTGATGGGAAAATACAGTGAAATAAACGTTTCAATTTCGGTTGCCGAAAACAGTCAATGGGTGCCGAAGCCATAATTTACCCTACATGAATGTTGCAAAAAAGTGCCTTCAGACATAGCGTGCGGTGGTTACATTCAATTATTCCTAATGTTTCTTCGAGAGCGTGGTTTAAAGGCTTGGGCTTAAGTCGTGATTTCATTGCGTGATAAGTAGACTTATGTCCAACCACTACTCGCTAGATGCTCATCTCAATAGAATAAACCTCGTGGACAGCAACATCTGTCGGTGTGGAAACGGTTACGATGACATCGATTACGCAGTTTGGCAATGTACGGATAATGACGCCGCCAGAGAGCGACTTTTGAATACCCTCGAGGCCCAAGGAAGACAACACTATATTCCTATCAGAGACGTGTTGGGAACTTGCGATCTCTGCTATATGCAGTCGATTTATGTATTTCTGCAAATGTCTAGTATAAGAATTTAATTCCTTTTGTCTTTTGTCTCTCTTTACTAGTTTTTGTTTGTCTTGTCCCCCCGTCTCGATGAGTCTCATCGTCGCCGACTGGTCACCATAGCCGGTCGAACTCCAGACCGGACTACCGTTCATATTGGCGACAACGCTCTGATGAGACAACAAAACCTCACCCCCAAGCTTCTCCCCTGATCCTATCTTTCAACAATGTACCCCTCTTACCTCGGGTAAGTTACGAGTATTCGGCCCAACTCCCACTAGACATAGAATTAAGTGAATTTTGTTACAAAAAAAGAACAATGAATTATCGGCTCCGTAAAGCTATCGCGATTGAGCCTTACAAATAAACGGACTAGTTAAAAAAGCTCTCCCATCTTCGGCAAGATGCTTAAGAATGACCTACGGGAGGGGAGTATGCAAAAAAGGAGGGACTTCGAATGTTAATCTAAATCGTTCCCTTGATGCTACAACTTAAACTTTGGCGATTTTGAGTTGATTATATCAAAATATTTATCTCTATAACAAATCAAAATGTGGTCAAACTACGGTAACCAACAAAACAGATATCTATATTTATCAAAACTAGGTAGGGTAGAGAACCACCTCGGCCTAATCGCAAATTTTGGGCCTATCGAGCAGAAAACATCAAACAAATCCATGATTTCAGAGTTAATTATGCGTTTGGTACGATACTTTAGTTAATAAGCTACAGAACGAAGTCAATGAGAACGCGTGATATGAAGGTTTGCACCCATTATTCCCAAAAACAAAATAAAGTGCTCCGACCGAATCAATTTTTACCTTCATCCGATAGGCCGAAGTGAATTCATTTTCGTTTCATTGGCGTTTCATTGGCGTTTCAATGCGTTAGGCCGAATTTAGAATCCGTAGGCCGAGTTTGGCGTCAAGAAGCAGTGTTAGACTTTTGACAATATCTCAACGATTGGTTTCTCCTAATCAAATCTTACGGTACGTACGGAAAAGGTAAATAAATTTGAAAGCCATCAGTAATAATAACATTCCGTTTGGTGCTAAGCTGCACTACACAGCAAAAAAATAATTTTGATATCTCATCAAAGTGGATGCACTCCAATCGTGTCAAAAATATGGTGTTTTATTACTTGCCAAAAAGGACAAAAGTATCATTAATATGAACTGACATTACACTGCTTTTACTGCATTTATTTATTTTTGTGGCCATAAAAATTACATGAGATTTTCGACATGATTAAAGTGCATCCTCTTGGATGTAATATTAAAATTTATTTTTTGCTGTGTAGATTAATAAAGACTAAGTGCGGGTTGTGCTTAATAGGCCGGAAATGGGGTAGTTAACCCTCTATCAGTTTAGAACAATGATATTGTGTGCTACAACTAGGTAACTCGATTTCGTCGAAGAGCCAAAAAATTCAACATTGAGAGAGAAAAACCTCGCTCACGAGCTCAATCTTTCAACATGCCATCTGACGATGTCAGAACAAATACACGGATCTATCCCAAAACATTCGGCTAAGCGAATCATGCTTACCTTGTACTCCGGAGGAATCATCGAGTTGGATCCGACCCGGAGGTACGGGATCGCATTATCACCGCTCTTCTGTTCGCTCAGCTGTTCAGCCTCATGGATTCGCTCGATGGTCACGTCACGCACCGAGCTGGTCGAGTTTATTTCTTCACTCTAAAAGGTTGAGAAAAATCAGATACTTTGGTTCGAACAACGACAAAAACTCCTCTCTAACTCACCTTGATGGAAAACTTCGAACTTCGCTGCCGCTCCTCTTGGACGGCTTCCCGCTTCATGCCGCACATGAGACACTTTTGATATCGGCAGTACTGACAGCGGTTTCTTTGGCGTTTGTCTATCGTACAGTTTTTGTCCTCTCGACATGCATAGGACAAGTCTTTCCGTACCGTCCGTTTGAAGAATCCTTTGCATCCTTCACAGCTGCGGGGCAGAAACAATCAAACAAATTAGCAGAGTTGGATGCAAATGCAAATGAGTACACAGCGATTAATTTATATCATTTCTAGATGCAAATTGCACGTTGCCCATTTGGCTGTGGGGAGCGATAGAGGGACCGCGTTTAAATGTCACGTCAGCCGGGACTGGCTGTTCGCGCAGTAATTAATTATGACCAGTGCGCGCCACTCGGGAGCATCTAGCGAGCAGTCGTGATAGATTTGAGTTATATTAATAATGATAAAAATTAAAATGCTCGATTTGTAGCACTCCAGCCGTGACTGAATCAAATGGAGGTCCCTAGGTGCGGGTTGAGCAGTAGGTTAGTGCACATTGCTTTCAAGACGTTTTATAAAAGTACCTAGGAAATAGAAGCCTGAACCGTTTCCTCACTATAGAAAAACCTGCACACGCCCCCGTTATATACTGCACGATCACTAATCTGCAGCATCGTGGTCTTTGCGCTCCTGGTGACGATGCATCATTCTCGTCTAACGCCAACCCGGACCGGAGCGTGAAAAGCAAATGTCGAGGTCAGTCGTATAATTTTCACGTTCCTTCTCGAGAGTGCACACCGTACCGCACTAGAACAGAGGGAAGAGTACGCGCTCTCTAATGGCATTCCTTTCCATCTTCCACCCTTCCACTACCTAACTTCTAAAAGCCACACCACGCCAGAGGGCGGTCGAGATCACAATTTGCATCTAATTAGATGGGTGTCTTCCATCAACAGCCAGGCCAGCAAGCCAAAACTAACCTATAGACACCGTAGTGCTTTCCACTGGCCCGATCGCCGCAGATCGAACACAAATGCTTGGAACCACTGAGCGGGTGATTTGGCGGATACTGTTGGCTCATGTTGGTGGGAGTTGTGGGTCCACCACCACCGCCGCCGCCTCCACCCCCGGAATTTTGCTGCTGACTGTTGAGACTGTTGACATTCTGTTGCTGTTGCTGAAGGGCTGCCGCGACCTGTTGATTGAATGCTCCCGGGCTGGCCGGGCCGCAGTTGTTGCCGGGCGAGAAGGGACCTACGCTTCCATTCAGCAGCGATATATCCGGTTTGAGATCTGGTTTCATGTCTTGAGGCGACAGCGGGCCCATGTGACCAACGAGGGTGGCATCGAAACCTGCAACAAGAGGGAGAAAAGAAATGTGCAGTTTAGAAGGGATGTAGGAGAGGAATTTTTGCGAATCTAATTCTAGCACGGTGCAACCATCAACGCCGATATCAACAGCTAAAGGGATATTTAATGAAAAAAGCGCTCTTATATTATGGTTTGTATCGCATCAATCGACAAGTTGCAAACTTGAATGAACTATTTCGATCCATTCCTGAGTACTGTGATTTTCTAACTTTTTTGTTCCATGCTACCCTTTTCAAAAATAAATTGCTCACCATCTTTCCTCCTCTAACAAAAAAGTTAGATAGATATATAGAAAATAAATAGATTTGGAAAGTGTGATACATTTCCTATAAGAATTGACCAAGAGCTTATGATTTGAGTTGTTCAAAATGATTTGGTGAGCGACCATGTTGCGTGACGTTACAACGTTTTGTACTTCTCAACTAAACTACTCACCAAGACATTTTGAGCTACTCAAATCAAAAATTCTTGACCAATTCTTATAGGAAATTTAACACAATTTCCAAATTTCCAATAATATATAGGGAATGCTTTTAAAACAAGCACATTAGCTTATTACGTGCTCTCAATTCAGTGTTCTAGATGCACTTCCACAGTTGTTAATTGAGAGCTTTCGATGCCTGTACCATTTTTTGCATTACACCGTGATCAATAAGTTCGGAGACACTTTTAAAATACATTAAAATAACACAACCATTATTTATTGAGTTTCTTGATATATTAAATTGAAAGTACTCTTTATGTAGATTATCTACAGCAAATGTTTCGGTATGACTCCTCCTCCTCCTCCTCCAGTCTTAAACGATTTTCGAAACTGTCACAGGCAGCACGCACTGATTCCATGGGCATTCCGTCCCAAAAATTTCTGGATAACTGCCTTGAACTGATCCGAATATCAGATTTTGAGATCCTTCAGTTTTGATAGCCTGTATGACCAAACGAAAAAATCAATGGATTCAGATCAGGAGAGCTGAGAGGCCATTCAGTCTTCGCCAGGAAATCCGACAAATTGTCTCTACACCAGGCCTGAACAATATATCCTGTGTAAGCTGGCACTCCGTCTTGCTCGAACACATAGTGATCTTCTCCTTGGAGCTGTCGTAGGTTTGGGGCAAACATTTTCTTCAAAACTTCCGTTTTATAATACACGGCATTGATTTTTAACCCTTTATCAATGAAAATCAAAGGTAGATTACCACGCTTACAAATTGCACCCCAAACCCAAACCACTGAAGCTGCACTTTGAAATCGAGGTACATTTATTTTGGACGCAGGAATATTTTCCTTCGCTGATGCCCAGATCCGATCATTTTGAGGGTTGTGAGACTGCTCCAGGACAAATAGTTTCTCATCAGAAAAATGAACTCGTGACCAGCGTGCCGCGATAGTATCTAATTAGTTCGATCCAATCTCTTTTGCTTTGATAATGCGGAAATACCATGAACTTTTCGTTTCTTAAAAGCAATATTGTGAGCAAGGAATCAAAAATATCTCCAAATGATAAAATGACAAGCGATCAACGAACCGAATGTAGCGTATGTCAGAAGTGGAAAGCAATAATGATATAATCTTTTTCTTTTGTTCATGACAAGCAGTCCGTGCGACACAGCTCACTCGGGACGGTAGAAGGAAACGAGCAAATTGTTGGGAAGCTGCTTCAGAAAGTAAAGCCGAAGATGATATACGTGTGTTAATGGGAATTTTTTTGTTACGTCTTTCGACGTAGACTACGTCTTACGGGAAGGTACTGGGGTAAATCGAAAATCAAAAATTGCGACCGCCACGAAAAGGTGTAAGATTTTGAACGCTTATAACTTTGTCATTTATAGATGAAATTAAAATCCAAACACACCAATCGATAGGAAATACCTTTCGTAAGCTGTTGCAATAAACCGTTTTTCTATATATTTTTTTTTAATCTGGACAAATAAAAAGTGATAATTTATTACTGTTTTCATGAAATAAACGTTCTCCCCAAACCCAGTCATCATAATCAAGTACTATTTGGTTGCACATCGTGCTGCTTAAATCTGAAAAGCTATAAAACAGCGCTGCTAATGTGCCTCAACTCATTTTCGCTTTGGACGGCGGGTAAGCAGGTAGCATCAGCAGTAGCAGCAGTAGGAAGGCGGTTTCTGTCAAGCGCGCAGCGTTCGAGTTTTGCACCTCGAACTTTGCGCGTCGTTCCCGTCGAGATCACTGGCTGCTGGTAGCAGCGTCGCCTCGATGGCGCAAGCGCTCCTTGGCTGAATGATAACTACAAATCTCGATTACTTTTCGAAAGGACATATCAGCTTTTGCAAACAACGCATTTTATCGTCGGTTTGGCATAACTAATAGCTCGCCCCACATACTAACACCACTATATCAGGTAGGGGAAAATTTCCTCTATCTCATGGTAGTGTTAGCATACGTGGGTGAGCTACTAGATACGCCAAATCTACGATCAAATGCGTTGTTCACAAAAGCTGATACGTTCCTTCGAAAAAGTAACCGAGAAATACTTCGTGGGCTGTGTACCAATTGCCGAGTTAAATATACCTCGTGGTTAAACGTGACATTCCAAAAGTTATTTTCAATGTTCGAAAATGCCGGAAATCGATCAGTTTTCAAACAGAGCTCAGCCACGGTTACCAAAATTTAACTTCTAGTCAGACCGAAATAACCACGCTCGTATAGCAGAGTTATTCGATAACTCATCTGTCACTTTTAGCCACGAGATAAATTTAACTCTCCTCCCTCAACTACTACGTTATTCATGAAAGTTCCCACTGAGCAACACTGAAAATCAGCAGCACACCACACAAAACGGGTTTGGATAATTTCGGTATTGATCATCCATATTTCGCGATCAGAACATTTCAGCTTGAAATCCCTCCATTCAATTAACGGTACATCTTTAATCTATTGATTGAATTAAAAAAATATCTTAATATGGTTTTTTTTAAGATTTCGTGCGATATGTGAACGCACATTCATTATTTTGCATAAGAAAACGGGAACGGGGTGTTTCTGTGGTGATAAGAAGGATTTTCCTACACAGATTGCAGTTTTCTGTTCCAAGCACTGAAATTATCAGACGGTACCTCTATTTATGCTTTTAGATTAGCTATGAAAGTCCCTCCTACTTGGAAAATTATGCTGTAGAACGGTCAGTGTTGGGAAAATATCAAAAAAACAAATCTCCCCAACGCCCAAGATCACGCTTGATTTTCGTAGACAAAAATAACAAGCAAACTACTGCGGTTGTTTTTGTAAGCTGTGATATCGCAACTCGGAATATCAAGCTAACAAAACTCACCAACTGCAAATCTCACCAAAACTGTGGTGAGATTGAGTTTAATGATTTTTGCTTTACTCCCGAATGCAACCATAATTTCCATAACGGCTTGCAGCAGTCCCTTCGCGTCTGCCATCGGTGCTTTCTATTTCTAAGAAAACGATGTGCAATGGAATCATTTTTGTGTCGAGTCAACTCTCAGCTTGATTTTTGCACATTGTGAATAGTCTCGCAATATCAAAGGAGCTTGTAAAATCAATATCAAGCATGATATTTTGTTCCAATATCACGCGTGATATTGCGAGCGCAGTACCCCAGTTTTTTTTGCTTATGGGGGCTAGGCATAGCCAGCCGTTCGATTGCATAATTCTTCAATTAGGAGGGACTTGCAATGCTTATCTCTTAGCATAAATAGAGGTACCGTCGAGTTTTTTTTTCAGTGCTAGGTTCTGAAATTCGAAAGTGAGTGTTCAAAAGGGCCTACTTGTAATGTTCGATTCTCTTCATCGATTTTCTGTTTACATTGCTACAGCTAAGCAAAACAATTCTATCTGAACATTGCATTAGATCCTAAGTAACACTGACAAGATTCTCTTCGTCGACTTTCTCCTTGAATCCACTCGGCACAGGTATTTTCAGCACACATATCGATAAAAGAAGTTTTTATCTCGCATCTAATACAACAAACACAACAAGAAACGATTCTGTGCTATTAATATAGTTATAGTTATTAAGGCTGTGTTCCATTTGGTGAATGTTTACTTAAATTTGACGGATGGAAAATTTTCAAATAAACCTGCTTATCCAGCAGACTTATTTCTGACAGACAAGGAATCAATTTTAACAGACACTCTCTCGAAAATCGGCCGATCAACAACAGGGATTTTCGAACATCTTAATTTATTTTCGAAGTGTCAAATCTAAGTGAAAATGTTCCAAATGGAACACAGCCTAAGTATTTTTTTATTTGTTCAATCGGTAGATACAGGATGGGAGGGATTCATGGCTAATTGATATCATCCCGATCAACTATGAAATGTTGCATAACATTGGTGCAAAATTGTGCACTCCGTTTAGCGTTTTGAAGTTGAATCGCTGAGGAAACCTTATTTATGATCAATCTCATTACCACATAAAAATTTCAAGAGTACAGATATCAGCTCTCACAAAACTTATAACAAAGAAACTGGAACTTCACGTTTGTTGCAGTCCAGTACACAAGGTGTTTCAATTTCGTGAGTGATGTCACAACCGTCCAAGATTTGTGTCCTAGAAATCTTGAAGTGCTAGGGAATATCAGGCATCATGACGGTCATTGTTATCTGATTGTTATTTAGGAACCAAATGAAATAGAATATGTGTTCGCATTTTTATGAGGTCCTGAATTTAACCAAGTTTTACTAAGTAGGAAATCCAAAACACGAAATCATAGGTTACTTCTACTGTATTTTAAATCAATATCTAGAAAAACGCACGAGAATTTCACTACACAGCTTAACGTAGTCTACGTCAATCATGCAGTCGTGTCTTGTACACAACCCCACCAATTTTATCGATTCAGATTAAGCTATGTCCTCATCTGTTTATATTGCAACAAAGCAGTACTTGTTCGCTAACTGGGTGTTCTTTAACTGGGCGTTCGTTAACTGTAGCCCAGGTAAAAAGCAGTTATACGTCAAAAATAGACGTCACATTTAGTTTG